GCTAGGCTTCTGGGTTCACAATAGGTTTCTGCCTCCTGGATGCACTCTTGTGAGACTGGGAAGGCAGAAATGAAGCAAGGCCACGCTCCACCTTCTTTGCATTGTGCTGGTTCCAGGCCAGGCCATGGGCACTTGCTCTGTGCCTATGGAGAGCAGCTACAGTGACAGCATCAGCTTCGTGGTTCTGGACCACAGTTATGGTGGTGGGTCTTGACATCAAGAATTACTGTGGCAGTCTCCCGAATCTCCATCATCCTGACCATGGCAAAGGCAACATCTCCCGGGCAGACTGGCTCAGAGGTGTTCCTCTGGCAGTTATTTCTAGAGGCCTAACCTGAAATCCTCTCCTTTAATGCTCCCAATTATTTTTCAGCATTGAATTCCCTGTTTTAAATAATTTTTCTGTTTAAATGAACTTGTTTTCTGGAAGAAACCTGACTGATACAACATTTTATTGTCACTTCAAACTCAATTTGTTTAAAAGGAAACAATATTCACTTCTACCTAGCCCTAATGTTCTGATATTCTTAATCATTGTTATCCACAGTTATCTCTTCCTCTCTATTTTCTTTTTCTTTCCTAGCCAGTCACCTCCTTCAAAATGTATCTTTTTATTTGTAACTTTCTTTCTAGTCCACATGCTAGTATCAAGACCCGACATAACCATCTCTTAGGCCTAGGATATTTAAATCAGCTCTTGGCTATTTTTCTCATTTTCTCTCTACTTTTCAATTGATCTCCCAAAAATGTCAAATTTATCTTCATAAAATATTGTTTTTTTGTCATATCACTGCTCTTCATTGCAGCAAATCTTAAATTATTTTTCTAAACTCCTAGCCTTGGATCCAGTGTTCTCTAAAATCTTACCTCAGCTTAAATTTTTCAAGTGTATCTTCTGGTGTGTAGGGATCCTGCAGTGTGAGAGATGTTGTGTTATGTGCTAACTGGCACTTTCATCAAATCATCCCTCTAAGGTAAATAGAATTACCCCTATTTTCCAGGTGAACAAACTGCAACCTAGGTAAATGACGTAGCTTTTTCAGTATAACACAACAAACTAATGGCAGACCCAGAATACAAACCTATACTGATTGGTCCCAATGCTCAGCATGATATGAATATGTACCATCTTTCCCACCGTCTCAGTGGTCTGAGTGTCTCTGGAACATGCACTTTCCCACTCTTGGACCAATCCTCTTACATTACTTTCTCTCTTGTCTAAATGTGTTCCCTTTACACCTGTTTATTTTACTAAGTTTCAAATCTCAGTACAAATTTTCTTTCCAATGAAGGCTGGTATAAACTTCAGATAATTTCTGAAATTCAACTCATTTATTTTCTGGCATTTGGTCTTATGAAATCTCATATTGGGGACGGTGTTATTTTTACTTACCATGTTTTACTTTTTATGTGTAAGTCTTGATGACATGCTAGCCTTCTACAACCTTTGTTCACTTAAGGCATGTAGAAATTGCACTGAACTTGGAACTTAGGGCTTATAGGGCTCTTAAGAATTCATCTAGTTCATCCCTCTTGTTTTTAAAAAGGGTCTTCCTAGAACTAGTTTAGATTATTATAATAACTCTAAAGAAGAGAATTTCTACAACTCAGACTCACTGCAGTAGGTCACTGTCAAAAATGTCTTTCTTGGATATAAATTAGTAATTCATTGAAGAAGACATACAAATGCTCAATGAATATGTGGGAAAAATTTCACACTAAGTGGTAGATAAAGAAATTAAAATTAAAATCACAGTGAAATGTCATTCTTCATGTATCACAATGTGATTGGTAAATAGAATGATTATAGCCAGTGCTGGTGAGGGAGTGGTATGCTCATGTGTTGCTAGTGGGAGTAACTTGGTTCAAACTTTCTGGAGGGCAATTTGGTAGTAGATAAAAAATAAAAAGCACACACCACTTTATAATTGTGTATCCACTTACTAAGAGGTTCTCTTTTCAGAAATCCCCTCCTTGGTGCACCTCCATCCCCCAGTTTTCAAAAATTGCAAGAATATGCTTACAAGGGTGTTATTGAAGCATTATTTATAAATATCAAAAATTGGAGACAATGTAACTATGGAATTGGTTAACTAAATTTTAGCATATTCATGTAAGGTGATACTATGTAGCCTTTAAAATATTGTGGATAGTCAATAATTTAGAGGGATGTTCACATTAAATTGCTATAAAAAAGCAAACTTGTAAAATGATATGTAGAGTATAGAAGAAAAGAATATATTTTTTATGCATAGAAAACAAAGACAGAGAGGATCTATACCAACATGATAATAGTGGTTATTTCGGGGTGAAGAGATAATGGGAGCTTGTAATTGTATTTTTTTTTCTTATTTATGGTTTTAACTTTTTAAAGAGTAAACACACATTAATTTTATAATAAGAAGCAAGTTGTTAAAATTATGTTTACATATGATCTCAATTATTTTTGCCTTTTCTTTAATTTTAATGAAATGGAGTGTAGTTGATGAACATTTTCCATATAAAACATCGACATAATTTGAGACCTTTTTATAGTTCCTTCTTACATGTGGCCAGTGAAAATCAATACAGGTTTTAAATTTTTTATCCTAATTTGCATCTTGCTTGTCTTTCATAGATTCTCTTTCAGTATTGTACTACTGTACCAAAAACTTCCTTTTGAGTCATTAACCTCTCTGCCTCATATTTTAGGTTTCTTTGATATAAATATGGGAACGAGGGAAGATCCTTTTCCTAAGCTGAGATTTCTATTGTGCACTGAGGTTGGGGTAATCAGTGGTGTACTGTGGAATAAAAGGCAGTCCCATTTCTGGGTATTTGTCTGAAGAGATCCAAAACAATAATTCTAAAAGATATATGCATCCCTATGTTCACTGCAGCATTACTTCCAATGTCCAAGATATGGAAGCAACCAAAGTGCCCATCAATAGACAATTGGATGAAGAAGATGTAGTACATATGTATAAGGAAATATTAGTCATAGAAAAAATGAAAGCTTACCATTTGTGACAATGTGGATGGACCTAGAGAGTATTATGCTAAGTGAAATAAGTCAGACAGACAGAGGATGACAAATACCATGTGATTTCACTTATATATGGAATCTAAAAAACAAAATGAACAAACAGAAATGAACTCATGGATAAAAAGAACAAACTGTTGGTTGCCAGGTGGGAGGGGACTTGTGGGACTGGGTGAAAAAGTGAAGGGATTAAGAAGTAAATTTGGCCCGAGCTGGTTTGGCTCAGTGGATAGAATGTTGGTGTGAGGACTGAAGGGTCCCAGGCTCAGTTCCTCTCAAGGGCACATGCCTGGGTTGCAGGCTCGATCCCCAGTGGGGGGCACGTAGGAGGCAGCTGATCAATGGTCTTTCTCATCACTGATGTTTCTATCTCTCTCTCTCTCTCCCTTTTCCTTCCTCTCTGAAATCAATAATATATATATGTAAAGTACAAATGGGCAGTTACAAAATAGTCATGGATATATAAAGTACAGCTTAGGGAATATAGTGAATAATATTGTAATAACTATGTATGGTGTCAGGTGGGTACTAGACTTATCAGGGGGACCACTTCATAAGTTATATAAATGTCTAACCATTATGTGCTACACTTAAAATTAATATAATATTGAATGTCAACTGTAATTGAAGCATTAAAAAAGACATTAGGAATTTAGAATTTGAATACCTGGTTTAGGATCCTAGCTGAGGGTTTTCCTAGTGATATAAACTTGTAAGGAATCTTTAAATGCACTCAAACTTAATTTTCTTATTTGTAAAAAAGTAATAGTGCACACATTCAGATATACCTAATTGAAGTCAAAGAGCTGGGTTAATAGCTAAAGGAGATAACATCTTTGAAGGAAGGAGCTTTATGAATCCCACTAGAGGCTCGGTGCACAAATTTGTGCATGGGTGGGGTCCCTAGGCCTGGCCGGCAATCAGGGCTGATCAAGGCTGTCTCACCCAGTCCTGATCAGGGCCAGGTTGATCAGGGCCTGCCGGCTGGGGGAAGGGAAGGTGGGAGGGACCGTGGGAGGTTGGCTGGCTGGCCACAGGGGAGGGACTAGGGGAGTTTGGATGACCGTGGGAGATTGGCTGTGGGGGCACACTGTCCACCAGGGGGCAGCCCCTGCATTAAGCATCTGCCCCCTGGTGGTCAGTGTGCATCATAGCGACTGGTCAATTGGTCATTCCAGTCATTCTGGTCATTCGGTCATAATGGTTGCTTAGGCTTTTATATATGTAGACTAGAGGCCTGGTGCAGGAAATTCATGCACTGGTGTGTGTGTGGGGGGTGTTCCTCAGCCTAGCTTGAGCCTCTCACAGTCCAGGACCCCTTGGGGGATGTCCGGGACCCCTCGCTCCTTACCACCCACCTGCTCGCTGCTCCTTGTCACTTGGGTTGCTGCTCTTTAGTGCTACTGCAGAGGTGGGAGAGGCTCCCACCACTGCTACTGCGCTCACTAGCCGTGAGCCTGGCTTCTGGCTCCTGCATTGAGCATCTGCCCCCTGATGATCAGTGTGCATCAAAGAGACCAGTTGTTCTGGTTGTTCCTCCATAATGGTCGCTTAGGCTTTTATTATATAGACTAGAGGCCCAGTGCATGAAATTCATGTATGGGGGTGGGGGCCTCTCAGCCCGGCCTGCACCCTCTCGTAATCCGGGACCTTTAGGGGGATGTCCAGCTGCCAGTTTAGGCCTGAGCCTGCTGTGGATAGGGCCTAAACCGGCATCTGGACATCCCTCTCGCAATCTGGGACTGCTGGCTCCACACTGTTTGCCTGCCTGCCTGATTGCCCCAACCACTCGCCTGCCTGCCTGATCACCCCTAACTACTCCCCTGCCTTCCTAATTGCCCCTAACTACTCACCTGCCTGCCTCATCACCCTGGTCTCTGGTTGTTCTGATCGTTCCACCATTTCGGTTGCTGGGATTTTATGATATAGATGGTACTGTGATACAAGTCTAAGTTGTATTTGTTCTCTTGTCAAGTAGATTGGCAAAGGCATTGGGAGAAGGAGATGCCTCAGAGAACCAGCAAAGCCTCCATCACCCTGAAGACAGAGAATTATGGGTAAATGGTGTTAGTATACACTACAGTTTGGTTCATCATGGCTTCCTATTCACTTCAACTGCTTTTGCCCTTCCTTCCATCTGACTTCATATCATTAAAAATGCAATTAAATATTCCAAGAGGAAACTTTCACTTTTAAAACAGCATATATTGGCACAGCTTTCTTTCTTTCTTTCTTTCTTTCTTTCTTTCTTTCTTTCTTTCTTTCTTTCTTTTTTTTTTTACCATCTCTGAAAATTGACAGGTGACCAAATCATTTTACCTCTGGTAGCAGAGATATATGGGACTATATGCTTCTATATGCCAGAAAGACATAACCCAATTTTGTAGAGGCAAGGAAAGAAAGGAATGGTGGTAAATTTCTACATAAATGGCTCATGTTGGCATGAGACCATCTATAATCCTCTTATTTGTCATATAAATGAATGGAGATTCAGGGAGTTGGTGTCACTTTTCATCACAAAGTTCACGGCAGAATCAAGGCTCAAGCCCAGGTCTTCAGAAAAAAGTTCAGTGCATCATATCATATTTGTTTCCTTGCCTCTGTTTCTGGGACTCACCAAAACCTTCAAGACCAGGGTATATAAATTTGCTATCTTGCACTTTACTCAAAAATGTCACCAGTCCTTCTATGAGTATGATTGTGTGTGGGAATAAGTGGGACTGTAAAACAGTCTTAAATTGGCAGATTTTCCGATATTCCTGAGGGATAATATCATCATGTGATCAAAGCATTCCTTGGGTTCTGTTGGTTGCTTTTAATGCTCAGTAATAAATTATATATCCTGTTCATTTTTCTTTGTGGTGGGTGGATATATCTGATTCTGTTTATTCAGTCAGTGGTCTTACCTTACGTTAGGAAGATGAGTCTTGGATTGCCATCTTGAATTTTTCTTCTTGATTATGCTCCAACTGTCACTTCAGATTTTATAGTAATTAATGCAAAAGGGGCTTTCTTTCCTTTTTTGGATTGCAGATGTGAGTGTGTTAAAGTTTCCAGGGACAGCAAAGATAAGTGGATGCGGCTTTGTTTCCTCTTGCTTCCTCCACATATGAAACCATTCTGATAGATCTGCAGGAAGAGATGTAGTCGCAGATGGCAGAGGTCAGTGTCTTGTGTATTCAATGTAGTCAATAATAAAGTCAGGACTTATGCTAACTGAATGTTAATAAGGAAGCACAAGGACCTTGCAAAGTCATTATGTCTGGTCATTTGCTTCGTAATATTACTCCACCAGGCTCAGGAGACCCATGCAAGGAGATTTTTAAACAAGTATCAAGAAAAGGCCAGAAAAATAAGGAAATGATTAGAATGCTATATAGATTATAAGGTTCATGTGATATACTACAGCTCAGCAGAAGGAGAATTTTAAAATGTAGTTTCAGAGTAGCAGAGGGAATAGTATCATTTCTTACTGAAGGAAATCTAGTCTTTATCCAAATCAAAATGGCATGTTTTTCTTGTCTAAGTAGTATGGTTCCTTCTAAATATAATATTGCTTCTACATGTCCTTTGAACCAAACGAGTTACATAAAATTGGTAATATTTTTCAAGGAAGAATATTTATGCATCACTGCATTTGGATAAGTAGGTGGGGAGAAACTAAGACTGGGCGACTGGTACAGGAAATGCATATAAATGTAAACCAGCTTCTATCTCCCATTCTTTGCATTTTCCTCTTCAACATTTTTTTCATAGCATGAAGATTAACGCTGTATCTATGCATTTAGTCCAGGCTTAAGTTTTACCCTTTGCCTCCTTTCTAATCCTTTGTTCTTTATCCTCAGTGAATAGTTATGCCCATGAAGCCAAGAAGAAAGCCACAATGGCACAAATTAGACACGCACACGTGAAAAAGAATAAACTTGTTACTATGCAATAATAAGACCCAGAGGGATGCATTATCAGTTACACTGTCCATGAGGAGAAAACTTCCCAGTTTCTCAGGTGAGGCAGGAGTATGATGATATCTTTTCTTCGTATTTATTTGTAAGCCCCAGGAGACATTTATTTCATCAGAGGCCCTCCTAATTAATGTTAAGACAGAATCATACAAATTTTAAAATTAATGTTTATTGCTGAAAGTATTATAGATGTCCCCCTTTCTTCCCCCATTGACCCCCTCCACCCCATACCCACCGCTCTCGGGCTTCCACCACACTATTGTCTATGTCCATGGGCTATGCATATATGCTATAGGTTCCCCAGTTAATCTCTCCTCACCCCACCCCTGCCTTCCCTCTGAGATTCGTCAGTCTGTTCCATACTTCTTTGTTTCTGGATCTATTTTGTTCATCAATTTATTTTGTTCATTAGATTCTACATATGAGTGAGATCATGTGATACTTGTCTTTCTCTGACTGGCTTATTTCACTTAGCATAATACTCTTCAAGTCCCTCCATGCTATCTCAAAGGGTAAGAGATCCATAGTATTCCATGATGTAAATGTACTACAGCTTTTTTACCCACTCATCTACTGATGGGCACTTGAGCTGTTTCCAGATCTTAGCTATTGTAAATTGTGCTGCTATGAACATAGCATATAGGAATGCATATATTCTTTCTGATTGGTGTTTCGGGTTTCTTAGGATATATTCATAGAAGTGGGATCACTGGGTCAAATGGCAGTTCCATTCAATGCAATCCTTATTAAAATACCAATGGAATATTTCACAGATCTAGAACAAACACTCCAAAAATTCATATGGGACCAAAAAAAGACCCCAAATAGGGGTCTTTATTATTTTTTTGTTTTCTGTTCAGTTGCTGTGCAGCTTTATTTTTTTTTTTAAATTTATCTTTATTGTTGAAAGTATTACAGATATCCCTTTTCCCCCTCATTGAACCCCTTTGCCCCACCCCACCTCCAGGCCTTCACCACACTATTTGTTATAGTAACTATCTAAAATATAGACTTTAATACTTTTCAGCTTACATAACTTTCTATTCTCTTTTTGTTTTATTGTTTGCTTCATATCATATAGTGTTAAAAAGCATGCTGGCTTGAATTCTGAGGTTTTTTTTTTAATATTTTCCCTATACCCATTTTTATCTAGATCATTTTTTTCTTTGTATCTATTGCTCTGAATTCTGCTTAATTTTGATTATATTCTCAGTAGTTCCCAGTATGAGACCCTGTTTGCAGGAATCCTTATCTGGTCAGGTTCCTGTGTGGGCAGTGGCTAGACAACTCCAGTTTCTTGTAGGTTGTTTCTTGGGCCCCTTGTACAAATGTACTATTTGACTGGGCAAAACCACCCCGGTCACTACTCTTAAGTCGACCTGCCATGATTTTCAGTAATACTTGCTGGCTGTTTCAGGTTCTTCTCTTCTCAGCCCACAGGCCTCTATTGTTTTCCTCTGCTTCTTCCTGCACTGAAATTGGTAACATGTGCATCTTGTGGCTGTTGGTGGTTTGTCCCATTTACTTGAATGTTGGATTCATGTCACCTCATTTTGTTGTAAGTGTAGTCCATGAGTTTTTAATTTTACTATTTAGGTGCTCTGGCTTTTTTAATGGGAGAGTTGGACACATTCTAAGCCTTGGCTGCTATCGCCATGACCACCTCTGCTGAACACTTGCTCTCCCCTCAATTCCTTTAAAGAATACATTTTTTGAAAATCCTTATAAACTTCTCTGCTGGAAGAACTAGTTCTTCACAACTGTCTTGCTTCAGGTTGAGCAAAGTATCTAGGCTTCTGTTAGGATTTGGCTGAAGTAAAAGGTTGTTGTTAGACCATGCAGGTCTTCCAATTGTTTTCCAGCCTGTTTATTCTGGGTGGAGTCCACGGGGGCTGACTTTATATTTCCTTTGGAACTACATCTTAAGATCTTTTCCTGCCAAGTGCTATATGTCTATTGTGGACACTTAATACATGTTGCTTAATTGGCTAGCTGTTGAGGTCTTGGATTTCCTTCTCATTATTTAGAACTTAAAGATAAATTTTAGATGTATTTAAGCTGGAAGTTTAGTTTTAATACAAATTCAAGATTTTATATACATATATGTATATATATATAATCTTGAATTTGTATATATATATGTATATATATATATAAATGTATATATATATATATTTGAATATATATATATATATATATATATATATATATATATATATATAAATAAAAGCCTGAGCAACCATAATGACTGAATGACCAAACGATCAGTCACTATGACATGCACTGACCATCAGGGGGCAGATGCTCAATATAGGAGCTGCCTCCTGGTGATCAGTGTGCTCCCATAACCAACCTCCCATGGCCCCTCCCCCCTGGCTGGCCAGCCCCGATTGCCCGATCCAGGCCTGCTGGCCAACCTCCCACAGTCCCACCCCCCCCACCCCCCCCATGCACAAATTTGTGCACCAGGCCTCTAGTATATCCTATATAATAAAAGGGTAATATGCAAATAGATTGAAATTCAGAACAACCAGTCAAAGTGTAATATGCTAATGATATGCTAAAGCTGCTCAACTGCTTGCTATGCCATGCACTGACCACCAGAGGGCAGATGCTCCAACCAATAGGTTAGCTTGCTGCTGGGGTCCAGCTGATTGGAACTGAGTGAGGTGGGCTAGACACACCCTGGAGCCCTCTTGTGGTCCTTCCCTGGCCTGATCGTGCACCGGTGGGGTCCTTCAGCCTGGCCTGCACCCTCTCACAATCTGGAATCCCTCAGGGGATGTCGGAGAGACATTTTCAGCCTGATTCCGCAGGCCACTCCCCTTGGGAGGGCGCCAGAGGCAGGATTCATGGCTGGCAAGAGCTGCTGCAGCAGTGCGAGCCTCTTCCAATTGGTACTGATTGGATGTGAGCCCGCAGCAGGCACAATGCGGCTGGGATGAGTGGGAGCGGCAGGTAGGAACTGCAGGTGGCGTTGGACTACAGGTTTCGGCCCAATCCCTGCAGACCATCCAGAGGGACCCCACCAGTGCAAGAATTCGTGCGCCGGGCCTCTAGTATATATGTAATCATATCATATCATATCATATCATATCATATCATATCATATCCCTATTAACTTTGTAAAATTCAATGTCGAAGCATCTTTACAAATCCTCTAACATAGACTTTTCGCCTAGGCCAGTGGTCGGCAAACTGCAGCTCGGCAAACCATGGCTCACGAGCCACATGCGGCTCTTTGGCCCCTTGAGTGTGGCTCTTCCACAAAAAACCGGCTCTTCCACAAAATACCAACTTCTGCGCATGAGCCACGAAGTTTCAATTGCATTGTATGTGCATGCCCGCACGTGGTATTTTGTGGAAGAGCCACACTCAAGGGGCCAAAGAACCGCATGTGGCTTGAGAGCCACAATTTGCCGACCACGGGCCTAGGCTCTATGGCATTTTGTGCCAGGTAATTCTTTATCATGGGGGCCGTCCTGTGCAATGCAGGATATTTGGTAATATCCCTGGTCTCTACCCACTAGATGTCAGTAGCACCCCCAGTTGTTACAAACAAAATTGTCTCCAGACATTGCCAAATGTGGGAGGGTAGGGAAGATGGGGGTGGGATGAGAAGGGCTCCCTGCTGAGAACCATTGGTTTGACACATCTATCACTATAGTTGCAGAACAGACCGAGAGAGGAACAATCATTTATATAAGGTCACAGAGCTATGTCAAAGCTGATTTCTAGACTCTCCTGGAAGACATTATTATAAAACATAATTATGCCTAATTATGGTTCATTTTTTGAAACTGAATGTTTAAAAGATTTTAGAAATCAGGACAAAGAAGTTTTTTGGGGACCAAATTATTATTTAGATTATTTCTGTTGTGGATATTTATTGCAAGAAGTGCTTATGGTTGGCTCTTGGAAAGAGCACTAAAATATCACAGGCAGGTATTTGGATTTTGCAGAAATTTGAAAAATAGTTGTTTGGGAAATAGGATCCTGTGGGTGTTTTGTTTTCTTGTAAGAGGATTATTTTGAGAGTGCCTTCTTTTTGGGGCTATTCTTTAATAGAGTTGCCGAAAAAGAAAAAAAAATACTGGTAAGTACTCACCATCTCTAAAGACTGCTAGAAAAGTAGCCAAACCTGTGAAGGAACAGCAAAACCAACATCTTTTTACTAGTGGGAAAAATCCTAAACCAATTTGGTAATGTCTTTCTCTATCACCATCTACTGAAGATTTCTGACAACATTGTTCCAAATTCTGTACTATCTTTAAAATTTGGCAGAAATGAGAAATAGAAGAGTGTGTGTGTGTGTGTGTGTGTGTGTGTGTGTGTGTAGGAAGGGAGAGATGAAAACATGCACATTAATAAGTTCAAAATAGGTTTATTATTAAATATTTTTATGGTAACCTCAATGACTCTTTTTGGTGTTTTATTGAATATTGCTGTTTTCTTTCTCATGTCTTTTTCAAAACTATAAGTTTTAGATATATTAGAAGAAGAATGTGGAGAAGACTTTCAAAAAAGTTTTCTGCAATTAAGCTGACTTGTAATTTCATGTATACTGTTCAGAGATTATAGAATGGTATAGATACACAAAATGTCTTTTTTTAAAATTCAGCAAAGTTTCTCTATAATGCGATCCATGGGTGTCAGGCAATGGTATTTTCTCCTAGGTAAGGTCCCTTAAAAAGATACCTTTTCATTACTTTAGAAATTAACCACTTTCCCCTCTTGGGAATCCAATGTAAATGCTCCTTATGTTATGTTTCACTTAGTGGCAAATTGTGATTGAATAATTTAGAGGGAAAGGAATTGAAAGAGAGGACCAATAACATTTGATGAGCCCACAAAAACATATACTCTCCTGTAACACTTAAAATAACTCTGGGAGTAGGTGTTCTTATCTCCATTTTCCAAATCAGGAATTTTCTAATATATTAATAATATCCTATAAGTGAAGCTCTTATATTTGCTATAGACATTGACTGTGTATTAGGTTATTACCTCAAAGAGTTGTTGTAAGAACTGAATAAGATAATG